TATTCCCTAACCACGAGTGTCTGCCGAAACTCTGTGTAGTGCTAGCGGTTTGAGCCCCCTAACCAGTCCTCGTGGGAAAAAGACGAGGGTTTCTACTCTCATAAAGAGCTTCAGGCTCGGAGACCCACAGGGGCAGTTCTACGCTGCCCTATAGGGACCACGATGAGTTGGTGCCAACTCAATGGCAGTAAGTTTGGCTTGGTTTGGGGGAGGCAATCCTCAAACACGAACACTAGTGGTTGGCTCCTGCAAAGATTCCAAACCCACTGCTGTCGACTCATAGCGACCCTAATGAACAGTGTTGAACTGCCCCCTGGGGTTTCCGGCCGATGTACAGTTTCCAATGCTGCCAATCTTCAAGGAAGCAGTGGTACCGTGTCCTACAGGGAGGGTTGCTTTGGGTCAAATCAACAATGTCATGTACCAGTTCAGACACTAGGGGGCAACGGGGGAGCAAAGCAATGGGAGGGATTTGGTTTCTGACTGCAGCTCTGAATAGTCCCAACAAATGGATCTTCCTAAACTGCTCTTTGAAGGCTGGTAACAAGGAATCCAGCTGTGGGAAAGCAGGTCAGAACTCATTCCACCTTCCTGTTACATCAAGGCAAAGATCACTCAGCATCCAGAGCCCCCCTCCACGCCACCCCCGGGAGTCCACTGCTGCTTTTATCAGCGATGGCTCAGCAAGGCTTTTAGGATTGAATGCAATATTTCTTGGTCTGTTTACCCAACAGCTGAATCCAAGCTAATTAGTTGCTCTTGTAGAAAATGGTCCGAGTGAAAACAGCTGATTCATCTGCTGCTGTACGTACCGTCACCTCGCTTGCTTCTTCCAACCCCGCGTGCAAGGAGTGCCTGCCGTGATCCAGTCTCCAGATCGCCGAGGGCTGACCCAGTCACAAGCCTGTCATTGGGGGCATGCATTAGCACTCAAATTTTGAGCTCTAAGTTTGCAGAAGGCCACAGGTAACTGAAAGTCCCAAATCCATTTCCGGGGTCCCCACATGGATGAAACCTCCATGTGTTCCTTCTGTGAACCAGGAAGGAGCTCTGGTGGCCTAGTGGGTTATGCACTGAACTGCTAACCACAAGGTCAGTGGTTCGAGCCCACCAGCCACCATGCAGAGGAAAGTTGTCTACTTCTGTAAAGATTTAGTTTCAGAAACCCCAAGGAGCAGTTCTGCTCTGCCCTACAGGCTCACAGTGAGTAGTGAGTTTGTTTGGTTTATTAACCAGGAATGTGAACAGTCTGGCCCTCAGGCAGAGGGCATTAAAAAGTAGGTTGCTTCCACTTCCCTAAGGAGTCCAGATGATCTGTCTGTCCGAGGGAAGACTTAATCAATGTTCTCCTTCAATTACATCTGTGCTTGACACAATGGATGGATGGATGGATTGTGGTAAGAGTTGTATGAGCCCCTAATAAAATTATTTTTTTTAAAAGAAAGGGAATCTGTTGAGAGAAAAAAACCTACTGGGAAAAGCTGGTACACATTGTAGCGTAAATAATTTAAAAATAAGCAACAAACCACGTGTCTGAGGGGAGAGTCCTCCCTCCCATGCTGCAGTCTCCATGGGGCAGAAACCACAGAGCCCCTTTCAACCTGGCCCCACCCTGGAGGGATGCAACAGTGAAGGACACAGAGTCCGGGGTGTGCAGCTGGACAGCCAGCTAGGGGAGTTATCTGGACATTCCCAGGGCTGTGGACCCACAGAGCTCCAGCTCAGAGAGCCTTCCTTGAGCCATGCCCTGCACGACAGAGGATAGGCGACCATTTAGTCCTCACCCCTCACTACACGCAGGCCAGAGACAATCAGACACTGTTTATTCTCTCTCCCTTTAATGTAAGGGCTAACAACAGGACCAGACTCTCTGGGTAAGATGAGTTCGGCTGCATGATGTGGGAGGGGTTAACGAGGAGGACGGCAGAGAGGGGGCCGTGGGGGATGAAGTAACCAGGTAAGAGACAGTCCAGAGGCAGAATGTGCAGCTCTGAAAGCTGAGTAGAGAGCAGAGGAAGGAGAAAGTCGGACAGGCGCCCATTCTTTGGGTGTTGATCTTACCAGGCACAGTACTCATCCACGGGAGAAGACGCCAAGGCAGAGACGTTCAGCCGTTTGCAGAAGGTTACATGATGAGGAAGTGGCAGATCATTTCCGGAGCCATACAGCCTACCTCCAGAGCCAGCATCTGTCACCTGCGGCACACGCTCCTGCTTCCAGTCGGGGTGACGCGGATGTCCCTGGCTGAGATGAGAGCAGGTGTGGTGGAGGGGAGGGCACACACCAGGGGCTGTCCTGAATGTGTGGAGGATTTGTATGCTCTGCCCGCGTCTCCGGTGGAGACTTCCAACGGGCTTCTCGGCCCATTGTGGAGAGGGAGCTGGTTTTCATGAAAAACACGGAAACGCCTGTGAAAATACTCTTGGCAGGTTTTTCCAATCAAGCCATTCAAGAAAGGCCTTCTGTACTGACAAACAGGAAGATCACGGCCCAGCTTTGGCCATGTTAGGAAAAGGGGGTCCCCAGCAAGGCACTCCGGACCAGTGGGACCTTGGGGGGAAGGGGGCGGGGTTTAAACTCTGCACAGAGACTACAAGAGACCATGCCTTGGGGAAGGAGGAAGACGTGAATGTCTCTACTTCCCCAACTCACTGTCATTGAGTGCATTCCGATTCCTAGTGACCCTATAGGGCAGGGGAGGGCCACCCCTGTGGGTTTTGAGGCGGTAAAGCCTTGTCTTCCTCTGAGGAATGGCTGGTGGGTTCGCACTGCGGACCTTGAGGATAGCAGCCCACAGGGTAACCACTACACAGCCAGGGCTCCAAACGTCACTCAGGCAATGTCGACTCAGTGTCTGTCCTGTCCTCATTCCAGCAGACCAAAGCTGGTCAGCGCTGCCGGCCCGTTAGTATCACCTCGACAGCTTTTTAGAATACTCATGGCCAGGCCTCACCCCAGAGCCAATAAAATCAGAATACCCAGGGTGGGTCTGGTGAAAGGCAGCTCATTTAGAATTGTGGTTAGATAGATAGGCGTCCTTGGGTGGCACAAGCAATGAAGCACTTAGCTACTCACTGAAAGGTTCATGGTTCAAATGCACCCAGAGGCACCTCTGGGCAGACTTGGTAATCTACTTCTGATGGGTCAGAGCCACCGGAACCCCCGTGGGGTCAAGTTCTACTCTGAAACACACGGGGTTGCCAGGGGCCACAGGCTCATGGCAACTAGTTTGAATGCGGGGAAACACACACACACACACACACACACAACACACACTTTGCCATTTTTTAAGTCCAATTCAGTGGTCACTCGATTCCGTGTTTTGTTAGGTCGTACACAGGGCCACTCTGAGTCAGAACCGACTCTATGGTGCTCAGCAAGCACAGTGACTTGTAGAGAGCTGTGTGTTTCAAAAGACAGGCAATCCCTGGATGGCGAGCCAGTCCCACCTTTAAGCCAGTCTTGAAGTAGAATTTGCAGCTCCCTCAGAAAAACTAGGAAGCGTTTGAGTCTAGTGTCACATTAGCTGAATGTTGCCCTTCGTATAGGGAATAGAATGTACTTTCGTACGCATTTTAAAAATGAAACATTTGAAGATACACTACAACACCTTCAGCATAACAATAAAATGATAATAATAAGAATGTTTTGATGAATATCACAGAGTAGTATCTAATCTAATGGCTCTTAGGAATCAATGTATGTCCCTCCAATTTTTAATATAATAGTTATATTGAGGCAAGATCGATTCATGACCATGCATCAGACGTGCTCAACCCAGGGACTGCCTGTGCACTTTCTTTCCCACTTTCACCACTGCTTGAGGTGAATCTGATTGTCCTGTCTCAGGAGCCGTGTGCAAAACTAGCAGAGTGTCTTCTAGGTATCCTGAAAGGACAAATGAAATAACAGGTAGGGAAAAATTCGTTAACACAGAGGAGGGGCTGACTACCTACTAGCTCCTTTTGTAGTTGTTACCTACAGCAAATGGTGAAGTTCACAAACACAGAGGGCCATGGAGTGCGTAAGGTCTCCTGAGCAAGAGCCCCAGGTACAAACCCAGCTCCATCCATCTAGGCAGTAAGCCTCAGAGAAGTCAGCTACCCAGCTAATGCCTCTGTTCCTTCTGGTCTAAGATAGAGGTCCTAGCCGGACTGGTCTCGGCTGCTTGTTGGATTAAAGGAGATGGTGCATGAAAAGCCCTAGGACTAGTCCGTAGCATCGAATAACTATCTGATTGTTAGCAGCGAGTAGCACTGAGCGTGACCTGCCTCAGTAGCAAGTGGATTCGTTAGCTCTGGAGTCAACACCAGTGGGTGTGCTGTGCCAGGTGATCGTGGATGAAACCCCAAATGAGGAGGGACAGGATCTGCCCTGGTGGACAGCCCAGCTGTGCCCCAGAGTCTGGCCACACAGCAAGGCATTTCACAGGGAACATTCCTCTCACCGGGCTGATGGGGTGAAGTACCATTCCCATGGCCACAACACTGGTCAAAGGTCACAAAATGGAAGGAGGTGCGATTCTAACAAGTTTGTCCTGCAGGTCCACATCTTTCTAAGCCAGATGTCCCCAGTGACCTCTAGCACAAGCCAGGATCACCCCTACGGCTGGTTAAAAGACGTGACCTGGGTTTCCCTCCCAGAGTGTCGGACTCAGGTCTGGGATGGAGGCTGAGAATTTGCAATTCTAGCAAGTTCTGAGGTGATGTCCACAATGTTGCTCCAGCAACCACAGCAGACCTGCTGCTCTGTCCGAGCCCCCTCTGCTCTGAGGGCACCACTGGGATGAGAGAAGCAGCGCTCTCGGGTCGGCACAAACTCTGCGGACCTTCCAGGCTGCCCAGAGCTCCAAGAATCGAGCTGGCGCTGCCTGAGGGGGCATTGAGGAACGACGTCTGCTAAGCTGCGGAGAAACTCACGTCCTACTGCGCCCCGACCTCGTCCGACGGGCATAGCCCGGGGTGAGGCCGAGCGTGTGGCCTCCGCGTCAGCACTTCAGCTGCATGTTTTATTCTTTATTCGCTTGACAAGAAACGTACATAGGATCCCAGAAGACACCAGACTGTCCGCTCCCCTAGCTGCCATGGTACAACAGAACCCCCCTGGGCAATCAGGGAGCCATGCATGGCCTGCTGAGGACAGTTCAGTCATTAGGGGGGGAGGACTCTGTCCCCAGGAAGACACCTTCCCTCGGCCCCACAGTCCTTCAGAGAGCCTTGCCTCTCACCCACCTCAGGCATCATCACAAAGAACAGTCATGCTGAGACGAAAGGGTGTTTTGCACTAGAAGACGATCTTAATACCACCACGTACTGGACAACGTATATAGATTACAAATATATAAATTATGAGGTCTACGCATATACAAAACCTTTCAAGGGGGACTGCGTTACATTCTAAGTCATGCCAGGGATTTGTCAGGGCCTTGAAAATGAAGCTGGCTCTCCATGGTGCAGATATGAAAAATAGAAGGTCTTTCTTACGGACCAGCCCTGCTCCTCTCGTGCCCACCGTGAAACCCTCTGGTGTGGTCGGGGCCCCTGGGCAACCTCAGCACCCCCACAGGCAGCCCGTCTGCAGTCTGCACCTTCCGAGAGAGCAAAGGGCTCGCGCCAGGACTCTTCTCCTGCGTCTCCATCTCCGCTTGCCGACGCCTCCGGACCCAGGGACTGCCCGAAGGCGTGGCACTGCTGTCGGAGGAATAATCCAAGCACTTGCGGAAGATCTCAGGACTGGTGCTTGAGTTCAGCCTCCCTTCCTCAGCCAGGGGAGATTTTCTGGAGACGCCTTTGCGTTGAGCCAAGGGGCTGCTCCAGGGACTCGAGCAAGGGGAGGCGTTGGGGCTCAGAAAGAGATTCTGGTGGCCAGAAGGACTGAGCTTGTTGCTGGCCACAGGCCGCCGGCCAGCCATGGGAGACGCGGGGTTGCTTTCGGGGTCAGAGGAGCTATTGGCGGATGACTCGTCACCCATGTATTGAAGCGCTTCGACCCTCTTGTTGAGGGACTTGCTCGGGTGGATGCTCACGGCGGGCTCTTCATCGTGGTTCTTGTCCTTGGGGGACTTCTTCTTGGGGGGCTTCATGCCAATCAGGACCGCTTTCATGGTCTCTTTGCCCTGGGATTCTGAGATCATGTACTCGTGAGCTTTGATGGCCGCCTCCACCTCCTCAAACTCCACAATGGCGCACTCTTGGGTCCCCACTTGGCTGTACCGGCTGCTGATCCTCCGGATGTCAGGGGGCAGCTCTCTCCCCGGCTTGAGGATCCGCACCGAGGAGATAATGCCAAAGCCCCCAAAGAGCTGAAGCAAGTGCTCCATCACCTTCTCCTGCACCCTTCCATTCGGCTGCGGGGTGGCCAGGGCCCACAGCTGAGGGGACAGGTGGAGATCATAGAGCAGAAGCATCTTGCTGGGAAGGTTCTCGTTGGGGAAGAGGGGGACGGGGGTGGTCCTCCTCACCTTCCGGTGATCCTCATTCAACTCAAGAGTCACGGAAGACTTCAAGGCATAGGCTGTGGTCCGCCAGTCTCGTGTCAGGTGCTTCACCTGAAGGACACAGAGCACGTGAGAAATGGTACCTCAAGTTCTTGTTCATCTCTGTTTAAGCCAGCCTCCCCCTCCCTCCAATACCACTGTAACACCGGTGTTACATGCATGTCGGAGCTCCCAAATCTGGTGCATGAACTTCCAATGGAGCAACTCGGATGGAACAGAGCTGCCCGACAGAACTTTCTATGACAACGGAGATGTTCTCCTCGGTGAGTTTGCAGGTTAACCCTCCAGGCTGTGGGTTAAACACACTCAAAGCCCATCTTGAACTAGTTATAAGACCCGGCAAGTAAAATGAAGATGTGAGTAGTAACCACTTATGAAGATTACATGAATAATGACAGACAGGTGCATACGAATCCCTGGGTGGTACAAACAATAAAACCCTGGACTACTAGGGAAAGGTAGGTGATTTGAACCCACTGAGGGGCAGCTCAGAAAACAAGCATGTCAGTCACAAGGTGACACGCCCCGGAAGTGCAATGGAGTCATTCGACGCTGTACACCTGGGACCCACTGCCAGGAGTGTGAATCAACTTGAGGGTAAGAACTTGTGAATCAACGCACAACAGGGTAAGGGTGGAGGGCTGTGCGCGGGGCAAACAGGTTGCTATTGGCTATTAACTGAAAGGTTGTCGGGCTGAATCCACCCAGCTGCACAGTGGAAGAAAGGCCTGGTGACCTACTTCTATGAGATGACAGCCATTGAAGACCCGATGGAGTATAGCTCTACTCTGACACACCTGGGGTCACCAGGAGTCAGAACGGACCCAACGGTAACAGGGTTGGTTTGGTTTGCAGTGTGTGTATGCATGTGTGCACATGTGTGTACACCTTAGGCCAATGCCAAGTTCCTAGTGAGCACGTAACACGTATCCTACGCAGTCCAATGACATTGGAATGGATACTGTCAATGGGACTCCGAGGGTTTGACAGGCAAATGCTTCTCTACAGTTGTGCTTCTGCTGTTACGCATTCATGAGAGTGAAGTGGATGATTTCAACTTGGAGTTAAACCCAACTCTGGCCTCATGGCGAAGGATGAGATAAACACCTCCCCCTCTGTCCGTGGTGGGCACTGGGAACGACAAGGTTGCCGTCGATGAAGGCTATCTTTCTACTGTGAGAGAGTCATTTTCTAGAGGCCCACTTGCTGTGAGGGGCACACCAGGAGAATGAGTCATCCCACAGAAAGGGAGGAGCTGGGCAGGGCGGGAAGCCTGGGCCAGGAATGGCAAAATCTCCCCGAGTCCTCATGGGAAGAGGCCAGGAGAGAAGCCGGGTGTGCTGGCTGCCCCTGAGCCTGAAGCAGGAACTTAAGGGGAGCCCAACAGGGGAGGGCTCATTCAATGGGCAAAACAAAGACAAACTCACGGCCATCGAGTTGATGTGGGTTCTGTAGGGCACGGCAGAACTGCCCCCGTGAGTTTCCCAGAGGGCAACGCTTTCCAGGAGTAGAAAACTCCATCATTCTGCAAGCATCGATGGCCAAGAAGGGGGGCACTACTAGAGGTCAGTGAGGAGGAAAACACAGGCTCCCAGACAGAAAGCGCTGTCCACTCTAGCCTATGGCCTCGGGCTGGAGTAGCCCAGACTTGGGCTCAGGGTGTGAGACTACTAAGTCACCTGCTTACAGACTCGGTGCGCTGGTGGATGTGGCGCTTGCAGCTAAAACCGGATCTCTGGTTAAAGGGTTGGATTTCAGGTGGTCAGAGACCATCAAGAAGGATCCAGAAACGGGGAAAGACACTTTAAGACTGGGAAATCCTGGAAACAGCTCTCTGCAGGGGAGACATGGGGGAGCCTTCTGCAAAAAGCTACCTCTCAAGGCAGGACCCGTCAGGAGAAGAGGAGACGCTATCTCATGGGCTGAGGCCTGAGGAAGGAGTGACTGTGAAGAGGAGGTGCCTGCCTCACTCCGGAGCTAGAGAAGCTGCCAGGACACCACGTCCCATCAAAAGAGAAGCAGGCTCCCACCAGGACCACGCGTCCCTCCCCGAGCCCGAAGGAGGCCCGCTGGGAGATCCTGCTTACAGCTGGGCATCCCCAGCCTGCGTCCAGGACCCTCAACCAAGAAACCAGGAAGCCTTGTCCTTGTGCAATTTCTACAAAACAACAACAACAAACTCACTGCCACCGAGTCAGTCCTGACTCATAGCGACCCCACAGCACAGGCAGAACGGCCCCTGTGGTTTTCTGAGACGGTAATCCTTCAATGGAGTAGAAAACCTAGTCTTTTATCCCAAGGAGTGGCTGGTGTTTGAACTGCTGAACCCTTTATATAAGAGCTGTTCAGGCACCCTCTTCATCAAACCCTTAACCGTTGATGCTATGCAGGGACTGCACACAGAGGGCAAGAAATCTCCCAAACCGATCCGCAGTGCCGCTGAAAGGACAGGAAAGCAGGCTGACTCTCAGGGGCCCTGGGAGGGAATAAAGGAGTATACGGGGAGCTTCAAAAAGTTTATGGAAGGAAACATCCCCTTATGTGTGTGTGTATATATATATATATAAATCATTTTATTGGAGGCTCTTACAGCTCTTATAACAATCCACATATCAACTGTATCAAGCACATTTGTACATTTGTTGCCATCGTTTTCAAAACATTTTCTTTCTACTTGGGCCCTTGGTATCAGTCCCTCTTTTTTCCCTCCTTCCCACCCTCCTGACCCCTTGATAAATTATAAATTATTATCTTCGGATGTCATCCCACTCTCTTTTTGTCCCGTTTCCCCGTGGGCTTTCTGAAGCGCCCTCATACAGAGAGCTCACGGACGGCTCCAAAAGGCTGCTTCACTGTGAGTTCCTTCCACAGAGACGTTTTCGGTGAAGGTTAGCTCACTGCTCTCTGGACGTGGCTTTGAAAACTCCTAATCACCCTCCCAGAGCTTCTTTAAATGTCACTACCACTGGGAAACCCAAAACTAACCCAAACACGCTGAGTCAGCTCCTATTCACAGCGACCCTATCGGACAGGGTAGAAGTAACTGCCCCCTTGAGTTTCTGGCGGTCAATCTTTACAGGAACAGAAAGCCTCACTTTTCTTGTGGATTCCAACTGCTGACCTTGCAGTTAGCAGACCGATGCGTAACCCACGGCACCAACCAACAAACAAACAAACAAACAACTGCCATCAAGTCAATATCAACTCATAGCGACCCTATAGGACAGGGTAGAACTGCCCCTGTGAGTTTCTGAGACTGGAACTCTTTATGGGAGTAGAAAGCCTCATCTTTCTCCCATGGAGCTGCTGGTGGATTCAAACTGTGGACTTTATGGTTAGCAGCTCACCACGTAACATCTATGCCACCAGGGATGTACCATCTGGGCCTCTCAATTCTCCAGGGAGAGCTAGTTGGTGTGCACAACTAGTTCCTGTAGTGCCTTCTCTTCCCGTGATGGTAATATTAACAATGGTTGTCCTGTACCCCTTCAAGGACCTCAGCCTTTGAGCACACACGGGAGTTTTTCAAGGGCATCCTATGCCTCACACAGACAGGGTGCTCGGTCAATAATCAAGAAAGCAGGCCACAGAAGAGGGCAGAACCTACTAGTGAGAAGCGCTGCAAAGAGACCAGTTTGTCTCCAGGGCTCTCTGACAACGTGCACAGACAACTGGCCTGTGGCCCACCCAGCGCCATTCTGTTATGCAAGAGGGAAGCGGTGCATTCCCACTCTGGCAAATACCCTTGTCCTGAGGGAGAAGTGGAGTTCTGACACCAAATGCTCTGTCAACTCTGAGAAGCAAGGCATTCACAACCTCATTGCAGGAGCAGGGACAAAAGGCCCACCATCCGGACAGCAGGAATCATAATTATCCCCTAACTCAACCTCATTTATTTATCTGACATTGTATTGGGAATTAGACGAGGCGTCACTGAGCAAATCCATTTCCCGGTCCATGCGGCACACGCCTTTGGTGTCATGCCACTGATGGCAATCCCCACAGGGCAGCATCCCTTCTCCCACCCCCTCCCTGGGTTTCCTGTTTCCACGCCTCCTGCCTTCTGCACTTTGGCCTTGGGAACACGCTGCCCTTCTGATCTCAGATGGTTGGTTATACGAAGGGGCACATACCTCCCTCCTGTTATCATTTCTCTGATAAACCAAAAGTCAAACTCACTGCCATCGCGTTGATGCCGACCCACAGGGACCCCTTGTAGGTTTCTGAGTCTGTCACTGTACACAGGAGTAGAAAGTCCAGTCTTTCTTCCAAGAAGCTGCTGGGGGTTTTGAACTGCCTACCATGTGGATCGCAGCCCAACATGTAAGCACTACACCAAGAAGACTCCCCTTCCCCAGATACACCTGTCTATTCCATAGCGCCATCACTGAGATGAGTGTCGCCATCAGACACAGATGGGACGCCTCAAAGATGGCTCATCTCCAAGGTTTCAGGAGGTTCTTTCCTGCCTTCTTTATGCAACTCAGCCCATGAACAACTTGGCTTCCACATCACACTAGGCCTGAGAGGTCTCGGTCAAGGCCACTGAGGCCCTCCCCCTGGCAGAACATCTAGCTACTCACTTACCTGGCAAGACTGTGGGAACTTTACCAAGGACAAGTCATGTCATTTCCAGCTGAGACCCATCCCAATACCTAGGGGCCCTTTGACTAACAAGGAAGGATATTGGGGGGCACAAGTCCAAAGTCCTTCTCGGGTTCATTTTTCTTTCTTTTCAGGCCTCAGAGAAATTTTAAAAACTCTCTAGGCAACAGGTCTTGATGGATTACCAAAAAAAACCCCAACAGTTTAGAACTACAGCCCATCACACCTGGACATCCTGGAAGCCACTTCTGGGAACAGAGCCTCACCTTTTTGAAGGACGTGAGCAGCTTGACGCTCACGTATCCCAGCTTGTTCCTCCGCACGTGCTTCAGCAGGAAAGCATCCTTCTCCAGGTTTTCATCGGAGAAGTAGAATTCGATCTGCTCCACCAGCTTCTTGATCAGCTCCTTCTCTGGGGGCTTCCACTCCTGGTCCAGGTCTTCACGATCGTTCTCGCCCCCGCTTGTCGTGGCGCTGCTGGAACGGGAAGACACTTGGTCACACCTGAACCGCGCTCCCCAGAGGCATAGTCTTTTAAGGGATTCGTTCTTCTTTCCAACCAGGTAAAAACACCTGAGCTTGTGATTTAAACAAGTGTGGAGGCTCCTTGGAAGACAAACAGCATCTACCCATACTTACTTATGTGGTGCTTTGTCATGAAAAGAGCCCTGGTGGGTTTACACACTGGGCTGCTAACCGCAAGGTCAGCAGTTCGGACACCATGAGCCATTCAGTGGGAGAAAGGTGAGACTTTCTACTCCCATAAAGTTTTACAGCCTCAGAAATGCCCAGGGACCGTTCTACTGGGTCCTGTCGGGTCCCTATGAGTTGGAATCAACTCGATGGCACTGAGTTTGGTTTGGGAATGCATTTGTCCCTGAAAAGGAACCTTCCTGGTGTGGTGGGGTAAGTGCTGGGCTGTTAACTGAAACATCAGTAGTTTGAATCCACCGGTTTCTCTGTGGGAGTGAAAAGAGGCCAGGTATGTCTGTAAAGATTTACTGCCTTATGGGGCAGTGCTCCTCAGCCCTATAGGACCACTGTGAATCAGAATCAGCGTGACAGCAGGGAATTTGGATTTGGGTTCTTGCCCGAACCATGCCCGGCGGGAAAATGTTAGTGGGACATCAATGAAATGAAAAGGGAGCTCCAAGAGATGGAACAAATGTTTTTTCATTTTATGAGAAAATGTTTATTCCCTACATAGTTGTTTTAAAAGATAGGTCAAAGAGACCAGCCGAAATAACTACAAACGCATAGTGCACTGAGCCCAGCTGCTGAAACCAAAACTCCAAAGTCACTGCCACTGAGTGTCTTCTGACTCACAGTGGCCATAAAGCAGCCCTCTGGGGGCGTGAATCTCGCCTTCCTTCCTGGAGAAGCTGAGGCCTGGCCATTAGCAGCCCAGTGCGTCCCGAGGACGCCTTAGGATGTCCGTGAAGAGCAGGGAATGGAGTAGGGCGTGTGATCATCTCCATCGTCTATCTTAGAGCCTGCTGTTCCTCTCCAGCTCGGCCATGTCCAAGTCATGCCAACTCAGATTTATGGGAGAAGCAGCTCATTCAACAAGACACCCTCAGCTCCCTTGTGTCCCTTACTCCCCGGGTTGGCTCTACGCCTCCAGCTGTTCACCAAAGACCTCAGCGGCCCTTTCCTGGTCCCCTTCCTCCATCTGCAGCCTTCTTACCCTCACTGCAGTATACGATGCAGTGGCTTACCCATGTTCTCCCCTGAGCTTGCATGGCTTTGTTCTTTTGTGGTACCGCTCCCCCTCAACCCGAGACTGCCCTTTCAGATATTCTTTCTTCTCTCTTTAGGTAGCCCCCAAGTTTGTCAATTCACTAGTTCACTCAGACGAGGCAGATCTAGGATTCAAATTCAAGTCTCTGGTCTACCAATTCAGCTCACACAGCGTATTCTGTATTATGTTAGGACCTTGCTACGGAGTCTGGAAACCCAAGCCTATCCACTGACACATGTCTAATCGAAGTCCATGTCCACCAGCTGCTCTACCTGAACAGACTTCTCCCTCTTCTTGACCCTCCTCAGGAGACGCATCCAGTCCAAATCTGTCTCCCCTCAATCCAACACAATTTCTCTGGTTCTGCCTGTCAGACCTTTCCACTTGGTTCCTATGATTCTGCTGCAAATTCAATATGTGCACAATTGAATTCACCACCTTCTTTGAGACTGACCCCAAGTAGGACTGAAACCCGAGCTTACCAAGAGATGATCTGTGTGTGACCAACCTTTCCCACACTCACACCATGTGTGTGGGATGATTCTGCATCGGGCATTTGCACCCGGTGGGTAGACAGGCAGGTAGCCAGAGAGCCCCTAACAAATGGGCAGGAAAGAGAAGATGGTGTGAAACCCCAGCGTCAGGACAAAGGGAACGTCTTGCACTTGGAAGACGCCTCCCAGGGTGCGAGTGCTGTCCGTGGAAGCGCGGTGTCTCCAAAGGGTGAGTTGAAAGCCTGTTACCATCTGAAAGCATGCTGAATTCTTTCCTGTAATAGCCTTTGCACAAGAAAGATCTTCTACATTTATACATACATCGATGCATACATATTGCTTTCAATATGAGGCTTGGGGACTTCTTGTCAATTACAGCTGTCCTGTGATAAGCATCTATCTTCCCTCCCAAACTGCCTCATCACCTGCTTTCACTCTTCGCCCCTCTCCCAGGTTTATGTACTCTGGTCCAGAACCTCAAATGCTTCTTCTACCCCCTCTTCCCCCTGCATCCCCAGCCTAGCCCCTATCTAATAAGCTCCGGGTCTCCATCTCTTCTCTCTCCTCCATTCCCACTGTCCTCATTTTTTCTCCCCCGGGTACTATTAATAGTTCATCTAGAACTATCTTGGCCATGGCAGCTGGGCACCGCCACTTTGGCTGGTGGGCTTAAGGATACACTGCATGGCTTAGACGTAAAAGTAGAGATGCGTTGGCCTCTACACTCTCCTCCACGAGGAATCTGTTCCCTCCAGAAGTCCTGGCTCTCCTTACTTCCTTACAATTATGGGGGCTGATCAACAAGAACTGCCATTGTCAACCATGACAAGTGTAAGCCTAAGAAACATTGACCAACCAGCCAACTCACTGCCATCGACTCAATTCTAACTCATCCCCTTTAGGACAGGGTAGAACTGCCCTTTGATTTCTGGGACTGTCACTCTTTACAGGAGTAAAAAGCCCCGTCTTTCTCCCCAAGAGCAGCTGGTGGTTTTGAACTGCTGACTTTATAGTGTGAAAGAGTTGCCCTATAGTTCAAATGGGAATAATCTGCATATATCCCAGATCAAAATAGCCCACATTCCGATAACTCTTTGCACTGGTTGAAGAGTTTCTATTAAGAAAGACCCCCTTTGGCACCTTATCATTTGTCAATTTACCAAGCAACTTGGAAGAAAGAAACAATACATCAATATCGTGCCAGTGTCTTCAAACTTCACAGGGTGCCTATTCCCCACCCAGGTGATTGGTTCAAACGAATAGTATTGGAGAGTGAACTACTTTACATTGTTTTAGCAGGAAAGCAAAAACCAAACCCTGGTGAGTATGATGATTCACCTGATGAGCAAGACATTTGGGCTTACTTTTGAGTATCTGAATTGCAATTTTTTCCCTTTTCCGCCAAGATTCTGTAAGACATTATGAAACCTCAGTATGTGGACCAGATTCTCAAGGCTTAAAGGGGACAGTGGGATATATTTGGGGCCCAAAGGATGACGTAATGACACAGCTGAATGTCTGGCAATGGATTGACTTAACCGAGCTGAAAGAACAAAATGTTGAAGATCTTCCAGGAGGAGACTTGCCGAGATTTGCTTGTGCTGTTCCTGGCAGACAGAAAGCTGATTATTTTCATGTTTGATGAACTTTCTCCTTACCTAGTGTGTTAGTCCCGGTAGAGTAGAAAAACAAATTCACAGATACTCATGTATGTATAAGAAAAAGCTTTATATACAAGAACAATTGAATACTGAGAAAACATCCCAGCCCAGTCCAGATCAAGTCCATAAGTCTGATATTAGCCCATATGTCCGATACCAATCTATAAAGCCCTCTTCAGACTCACAAAACACATGCAATGATGTCAAATGCAGGAAGATCACAGGCCAGTGGGTGGGAAGTCTGTGGATCCAGTGGTGTTGTAAGCACCTCAGCACTGACAGGGGTCTCCATGTGGTTTCCCCAGCTCCCAGGGCACAGGCTTTATCAGTGTACCACCATGTGTCTTGTCAGTAGAGCGTCTCTCAGGGAGTGAGTCAGAGAGAGAGTCTCCTGCCTCCAAGGAAGAAATACAGGAATACCCAGAATCCTCAGGGGAAGGCCATGCCCACACAGAGGCCTTATTAGCTATACAGTGATTGACTTCACCCCTTCATTCACAAGGCTCTGAAATTGACAACAGATTATATAACTACCACACCTCAATGCCAAGCAGCATTTAAATGTAATAAATCCAGATGAGCATATCATTGTGGTGGAGCATGAGCCACACGAGTACCAGACTATCTCCCTGATTTCATCTGCTGTTTATAATGGTAGACCAGGTGCTTATGGCATTGTCTTCGTGCCTGTTAGTGTGCGAGAAGTCAGAGACATGTTTTTAATGGCTATGTTCCAACAGCAGATGGGAGAGTCAAGGAGGCATCGCTTGTTTTTGAAGTGGCAGAGGCAGCAAATGAAGGGGTTAAAAAGATGTGCATGTATACAATCCAGGAATGAAGGAAAAGATGGGAGTGATCGAGTTAGCAATTGTAGCTGGAGAATTGAGATTCTGAAACCATGGTAATGCTGGGGAAATGGTATTGGCAAAATGCCGTTTCCCAGATGGATTGCTGGAAGACTTAAATCTGATGTGGGAGAAGTGTCTGTAAATGTCAGGGAAAAGCCACAGAAGATCAGTCCCAAGTCAATTGAAATTGTTCACCAATTGCTACATTAAAAGAGAGAGATGTTGCTGCTCATCCCCAATTGTGTCTGATGTCATGAAGGCTCTTTGAATGGAAAACATCACTGACCAAGAGGTGCAGGCATCATCGAGCAGTGGATGCAGCAATGAGTAGCTTTAGCGCTTTGTTCGGGCAACCATGCTGGTGTCCGTGTAACGGATAAACCATCTGCTGTTTGGACTCTGGGCAAAGCGTGACAGCAGCCAGAATAGGCGAGGGCTTCGTATGTCATGCCCAGCGGCCAGCCTTTGTTGTGGAATAGGACCTCTTCACAGCTACCTATCTCCAGGATCGGGTCATCCTTTCCGAAGGTAACTCTTCTCACAGCGCCGCTGCAAACAGTTCTCCAACCCTTTTGTCTCCGCTTGAAATGACATTCAGAAGAGATCCAAACATCGGCCAGATCCGACCAACTCCATTCAATTAAGGATGGGAAAGAAAAGAAGAGTGGGAGCTACTTGCTCTTGGATGATTAAATTTAAGAATACTGATGAGCCTCTTTAATGGAATACATAGCCACATCTTTCTCCTTCCCAATAGTTAGGTTGTTGCAAAAATAATGTTCATAAGAAGTCCATATTTTTCATGTTAATTGCAAAAGGAAAGGCATGACTTTACAATGGAGAGATCACCTTCACTCGCTTATTTTAACTCCGTGACCTACCTAGATGTCTCCAGATGAGATGCAATGTAAACACCGCCCTGCCTGTGAAATGTTCTCACCAAATGTCTAATATGAACCTAAGCACTCCTTGTTCTAAC